CTGATCCTGATGACTTAGGATGATACAGAGATATTACTGAAAAGAGATACTTCATTAATACACTGTTATTCGTTATGTATATCTATCCACTGTATTTATTAAAACTCTTCTTTCTTGTAATGTTTAATTGGGTAAAACAGTACAACTTGGTTAGAACCTTTTGAACCAAGGGACCTCAAATGGCCTAATCTACAGAATGTGTCCAAAATCTGGGACACATGACTAGCTAGAATTGAAATTTTGCAAATTTTAATTAAACATTTTATGACATAAAATTGCCATAAAACAGTTTACGACATAATATAAAATGTCATAAAATATTTCTGTGCTTATGTTTGTGCTAGTTCAGCCAGACACTTCTGAACAGGCTTTTTCACTGAAAGCAATACATTAGAAGCTCTGTCATTGTTGAAGATAGCAAGCAGTCTGGTAAGGCAATATTTCTGAAAAAATGACCCAAAGGGTAATGGGTTGTCTAGTTGAAATTAAAGCTAAGTGCATAAACAATTGATCTTTTCCTTTGAAAATAAGTAGGGCTTTATGCTATAATCCTATTTAGGGGGGGCAGAAATAAGTAACTCCTTAATTTTAGTACTGCTGACAGGTTACATAAATTTTATTTGGGATCAGTTGTCCCTTTACCAAGGACTCTCCATATGCCTCACTTACAGATGGTTCTGAAGAACAATAGAGTATTCAAGGGAACATAAATATGCGAGCAGATATTAATATTGATCTATTCAAGATTTAGGGCTGCCATTAAATATTTTCTTATTTACTGCAGAAAGGTGTGCCCCTCTATTAATGTGATGTTATACTGGATAATCTAGAATGATTAAAGAGATACTTTTTAAGATTACAGAAGTATGTGTGATTATGTGTTAAAAATGGATGCTTTAAATTAGAGGCTGGGAATATTTTAGTATTTAAACGCAGGCAGCATTTAATATTTGTTTGAGGGGGTGAGGAGGGTTGTGACTAAAATTAGTGGAAAAGTATCATATATGTGAGCAACAGCATAATTTTCAATTTAGGAGGAGGCTCTTTGGAAATTATGGTTTTGTTAAACTTCTTTAAGGGTTATTTTACCATTTTCATGTGTTCCCAACTTAAAAATCATGAAGAAATATAGCATTCATTTTTTTCAGTGTGCTCATAGAAAAATGAGGAAAATGTAAAGAGATAAATAATAAGATATAGATGTATATTCCTACTTTAATTATTTGATTCCAAAATATTTTGGATGTGGAGGATTTAATCTTAAATCTTTTTAAAAAAATACTTGCAGATTATTGTCAATGTATTTTAAAAAATTATAATATGAAAGAAATTAGTTCAATGAAGAATCTATGCATTAACTTCTTTTAAATGTGCTTACAGTTTATCTGCTAGAATCACTGGAGAAGTGGCTATGCCTATGTAAAAACTGCAGAATTAAAACAACAGCTTTTTTTTAAGCAGGAAAGCTATTTCTATATTAATACAATAAAGTTACAGTTTTATTAAACTGTAACTGTTATTCAGAAAACTCTGTAAAATTACTTTTGAAGGTAAATATCACAAACTTGAAATTTTATGATTTAGCAAAACAAAATAATAGGGAAAACTTTGTATTTCCCTAAAATGGTAGTTCATACAATAGTTTTACTGGTGCCATTTCACTGCTAAGAGTGACATGGGATTATTATCATAGTTAACTTCACATTGTCTTTGAATTTATTTTTTTAGTTTGTAAGTGTGTCTGAAAATCTAGTTTTACTTTTGCTGCATTTCAGCATGTTTATTTTTCATGGAGCTTTGACTGCTAAGGAACCTATGCTAAGTACATTCACCCAGATACTAATCCTAGCTAAACGCAACAAGCTCTCACTCCTCCATCCTCATAATTACTTGTGAATTAAGGGAAAGGGGGATTGTCTTATATTGGCTGAGGAGATGCTGCTATTAAAAACACATAATAGGAAGGAAGTGAAAATGTCTGCAGACCATTGAAAATTAACTGTCAGTTGAGGGGAGTTGATGGCTTGTGGATTTTAAGCATCTCCTAATACCTAAATTGAACTTATATCGCTTTTCTTTTATTGTTTCCCTTTCTCTTCCCTTTCCAGCATAGCTAACCCTTCCATTTGCTTCACCTCTTTCAGCTTTTTGCTGCTTCTGCTAGAAAAGAAATAGGAAATATGTTTCTGTGTACTTGATATATCTTTGGAGTGATTTTTGATAAATAGTTGCAAAGTACATAGAGATGGGCCACGTGACTGTCTTTTTTGCTGGCTGAGGGGGTGTAAGTGGAAATCTTGCCTGATTTGGGAGCAATTCTGGGTGACCAAGGTGAGAGGAGAATGCAAATTGAATGTACTTAGTGATAGAACATTGAGGAATGAATTGGGATGAGCAGTTAACAGAATTTTTTTTAACATACCATACTTGTTTTCTAGCCTTCTTCAGAGATTGTTTAATTCAAGAATCTATTGTTGAGGGGTTTTTTTCCTTTCTGGGCACAGGCTCTTTAATAAATTGGATTGTACTTGACAACAGATCCATCTTACTTTTGAGCTGATTATTAACCCCAAATGTTAGGATACGAAAATAAAATACCAATGTAATGTACCTTCATGAGCATTTCAATTTGATAAGTGCTACTGGAAAGTATCAAGTTGCTTCTGCATTTTTTCTATGTTCTCTGTTTGCAGCTACAGCAGTCACAATGCTATTGATGGCAGGGAAGATTGTTGAGGGCTTGTTTGTATTAACCAGTAACCTTTCCACTTTTTGTCAGTCTAATTGTTATGATGTTTTTGCTAACACTTCTGCTTTTTTTCATGTAGAATGCCTTCAAAGCTCTAGTAACATTTCATTTGGTGAAGAAAATGTTTTAAAACTTCTATTTGTTGTTGCATTGTTTAGTAAAACTATTCATAATGTTCTTAAAAATATTGAATGTGATGCAACTGCAGTTTATGTTACATTTGTTGAAGCCTTTTTATGTTGCATTTGTTGCTATAGTTAATACTTGCCAAACTTAGCATCTGCTGGGAGAAGTAGAGAATGAAATTATTTATGTGCACATCGAATTGCAGTCAATAGATATGTTATTTTACATTGTCAGCCTAAATACTGCATTTAGTTAAAATACTCTGATATAATTGATTGGGTATCTTTTGAAATATATCATGAAATTACCTTAGGGTTATTGCAGTGCTCCTGGTTGCAATCCTGAGATTCCACATAATTGCTTTAAAAACTGATTGCCCCTCATAATAAAAAACACTTTGGTTATATTAACATGGAAAAGCCAAAGAATTATTTGATGAACACCGTTTACATACTTGAATATTTGGTTAATATTATTGATTAAAATAGTTTATTCATCATGTTATGTTTTTCTAATACCGTAGGTTTGAAATAGAGTAGATAGTTATGTACCCTTATCTAGTAAATAGATAGTAGTTATGAACCCTATCTAGTAAAGTCTTGAGATTTGTTCATGGTTGCTTTTATGCTACTTAACTGCTTAGGCAGAATTAAATTATCAAAGTCTCTTAGTTATAACATGTTATCACAACAAAAAGTCTATTTGGTCCACATATATGAATTATGTTCTGTCAGAATTTAAATTGTCAAGCAATTTGACTGCTTAAATTAAGCAATTATAAAAACTGAAAACAATTTTGTAAGGCTGTTAAAATAGTATTGCTGTGATTTTGCTAAAATTAATACATTCTAAGTATTAATTTTGAGAAATCTGAATTATATATGTTCAACTTTACAAAGTAACACAGAGAATAAAAGCTCTGGCCCATTGAGCCTTGAGCAGAGTCTCAACTTTTCCAATTTTCCATAACCTCAACAGGAACAACGGTGTCATTCACAGTGCATTTTTTCTTCATGAGAGTTAGGAACAAGGCATTTGGGAACAGGTCCTGTTCCTCACTTTTCCATATCCAAATTAGTTCACCAGGTTTCCACCAACACCCATTTTGTTAAGTGGTTGTGTACTTGTGTCTTATGGGAGTCATGCATCTTTTAGGATGATTAGTTAACCTGACCAAATGCACTAACTTTCTGTGATCAGCACTAATTAAAACATTGATCTCACTGGAAATGAATACAAAGAAATTTCTTGAAAAAATATACAAGGCTAAAAACAACAATAGCTTATGATTCCTGGTTTTTTGATGTTTAAGATACAGTTCTCAAATTTAACTTTTCAACTTCTATTTTGAGCAAAGAATTTTTTATAGTACCACTACAATTGGAAAGCATTAGGAAACATGGCAAAATGTGTGTGTCTGGAGATGTTCTCAAAATACAGTCTGTCAAAGTAGTAATCTTTGCCAGTTTAGTATTATATAATTTATATGTCCACTGGTTCTTCAAAGATCTAAATAATCTTTCCATGAAAAACACTGAAATTTAAAACATGATAGTCCAGTGATGGTGAACCTTTTAGAGACCGAGTGCCCAAAACCGCCATGCCCCTGGCCCACCCCCGCTCCGCCTGCCCACCCCTGCCCTGCTCCGCCCTCACCCCACCCGCCCTCAGGGCCATCCACGGCTCGCCGCAGCATCTGCTGCCCACCTGCCATGTGCTTGGCTGTGCTGCTCTGTGCGGGCTGCACCCGGGGGTGACTCTCCTCCGGGGGGACTGCTGGTGAGGAGGGGGCTGCGGGTGGAGGCGGGGCTGAGGTGACGGCATGCGTGCCCACAGAGAGGGCTCAGAGTGCCGCCTCTGGCACTCGTGCCATAGGTTCGCCACCACTGTGATAGTCTTTGAGAAGTTTTAGTTTATCCTCCGCCTGTTATACTGATCTGAAACTTACCCATTTCATGTCAAAGTTTTCCAGTTTAATATTCTTATACATATAGTACAAGTAGAATATTCCCTGTATTAATATACTTTTTCTACTTAGTGTAATGCAGTTAATTGGTCTAAACAATCACATTTAAGCTTATTTTAATCAAAATGAATCAAATGAACTTTGTTTATTTCATTGCAGGATCTGGAATTCCATGGAGTTATGAGGTTTTATTTTCAAGACAAAGCAGCGGGAAATTTTGCAACAAAGTGTATCCGTGTGTCTAGCACTGCCACAACTCAGGATGTGATAGAAACACTTGCTGAAAAATTCCGGCCAGATATGCGAATGTTATCATCTCCAAAATATTCACTTTATGAGGTGCACGTCAGCGGAGGTTAGTGTATTCTATTTGGGCTCTTAAAAAAGAAATGACAGCAGTGGAAAAAATAGGCTTCATAAAGTATCTTGTTTCACTCAGTTTCAGCAGCTAACATTTGAGAAAAAGAAATTGCTAACTGGCAGTGATATACTAAAACTTAAGAATGCCAAAATATGTACCAGTAAAAATGTATGCAATCAGAACATTCTGATACCTTAGTAAGTTTGTGGGCTCAAAAAAAAATCTCAGCATATTTCATTGATGTAAATCTTATAGTACGTTTTGAAGGATTGAAAGCTTTATTCAGAGACCGGTCACTTTAGGAAACATGCCTGGAATATTGGGATTGTGGCTCTGAACATTTTTTCCCCCTAAAGGAGCCATTATAGTTCATGAGTGTACAGTAATAGCATAATGATCATCTGAATCAGTGGTTCTCAACCTTTTTAATGCTGCGACCCCAACCGATCGTACGTCGAGGACTAAACCGGTCGTAAGTCAAGGACTAAACCGGTCGTAAGTCGAGGACTACCCAACCGGTCGTAAGTCGAGGACTTTCCCTGCCCGGGAGCACCGCGCATGTGTGGTTCCGCCCCCTGCGCCGGCCGAGGCGTAGCTGGCAAGCGGCAGAGACGGAGCAGGCCGACCACCAGCTGACCCAGCCCAAGGGAGGTAAGGCACCCGCTGGAAAAGGGGAAAAAAATGGCGGACAAAAAAAATGGCGGACAGCCTTGCTTGGCAACCCCCGTGAAATGGTCGATCGACCCCAAATGGGGTCCTGACCCACAGGTTGAGAACCACTGATCTGAATGATTATGCTGTAGTAGTCATGTATTGAGAATCATTTTAGTAAGGCGGTGGCCTAGAAACCAGGAGACTGAGCTTTAGTCTTTTTTTAGGTTTGAAAGCCTGCTAGATGACTTAAGGCCACCTGCTCACTCTCAACCTCACAGTTTTGCTGTTGTAGGGAAAATAGGAGGAAGGAATAGTATACAAGTTTGCCTCCTTTAATTACATATAAAAAGGTGGGATAAAATCTAATCATTATTACCATCTGAAGTCATTTATGCTAAAGAAATGGTCCTTGAAATTGGGCTGGAATTTTTAGCTGGCACAGAATATGATCATCCTCCTCCTAACAGGAATAGAAAGGCTCATGTGCAGTAAATTTTCTTTCAGCTTCAGTTTATTTTGCGAAACCATTCAGGATACCAATATTTTTTATAAGACACTGTCTAATCTAAGGTTAGCAGAGTTAGAGGCAGTGCTCCAGAATGGGCCATTTTATTTAATACCTTTTGAAATGGGGCCTTCTTAAAGGCACTTTTCCTTAGGTAAGTGAAATTTGATTATAAAAAATAAAAGTGGACGTTCAGATTGCTTTCTTAATCATTGTAGGAAGATCATAATTGAAAGATATGGTGGGTGATAGAATTTTCGTATTATTATTTTGGATTCCCAATGACAATCTTTATGTTTCAAAAAGATGAAAAAATCATATCGGTATGACTTATTAAAATTCATGAGCTAAAACCAAAATGTTTAATCCTCATTGTTTTACCACTTTGTCATGATGCTTATTGTGGGGGAAAAAATCTTTGTTCTTCTATTCTGCAAGTTGCTTAATTTGTGTCTTTCACCTTTGATACTATCTGCATTGGGGATTTTTTTTAAAGTGTTATTTTTATTTCTCTGAGATCAAGAATATTGGTGCAGTTAAATAGCTTAAAATAAGAGATAACTTGAGATACCGGTAACTGATAACTGATAACTTGTGATATATATGACTTCGTTTCATTATCTAATGTTGAGGAGGACAATGATTGAATACTTTCAAGATTCCAGTTGGAAACAGTAGATTGCAATTTATGGGCATTAAGTTAAAGCTGGTGGTGGAGAGTTGCATGATATTGAATTTTATATAAGGTTTTATTTTTTCTTTAGTTTCAAAAAGAAAAAAAAAGAATAGTTATTCAGTTAAGAGAAGACATGATTTTCTATGTATCTGGTGAGATAGATGTTTTGGCAAAAGAATATACACAGATATTTATGAAGTGGCCCTGCCCCATATGTCCCCAGTCGTGCGACCCTGCTTATTAAGTTGGGCTCTAGGGATCAGTTGGGACTGTTGCTATTTTACCAACCTCCCTGCTTCTTAGGAACCTCCCTACCCGAGCTCCTTGACTCCATTTCTGGAGTTCCTCAAATTTATGGTTTTGTAGGATTTGCCTTCCCTGGAATAGATTCTGAATTTATTTTTTTTTGAGAAAGAGATGGGTTGTTCCTTTATCTTATAAAGAGACTGTGGTCTGCCCCCTGCTCAAGATCAATAAAGTGCTGTAACCCACTTTATTGGATAATTTTCATCCAATATCTCACTCCCTTGCTTGGGAAGGTAGTAGAGAAGTTTGTTATACCACAGTTTCAGAGGGCCTTGGAGGAAACAGATTGTCTGGATCATTTTTAGTTAGGATTCAGACCCAGGTATGGGACAGAAACAGCATTGGTTGCACTTTGGGATGTACTTTGGCGTGGGTGGGCCGAGGGTAGTGCATTCCATCTTTGCCCTTCATAACCTCTCAGCTTTCAAAACCATCAATCATGGTAGTCTTCTTGATCGGCTCAGAGGATTAAGAGTGGGCAGCATGGTGTTATGCTGCATCTTTCAGGGCTAATTCCAGTTGCTGTTGATAGTGGAGGACAAGTCTCGTTCTCAGCCCCTACTATGTGAGGTGCCATAGGGTTTGGTGTTTTCTCCTCTCCTTTATAACATCTACATGAGGCTGCTGGGTGAGCTCATCTGCCACCATGGGCTGATAATCATCAGCATACTGATGATACCCAGTCATATATTTTCACCCTGGGTGTTTAAGCAATGCTGTGAATGTCTCATCCTGGTGACTGGAGGCTGTGAGAATCTAGATGGAGAACAAGAGACTTCAGCTAAACTCTGGTAAGACCAAATGGCTTTGGCCTGTGGCTCTAGGATTTTGCCATTTTTGGTGCTGAATGGGATTTCAGTATGCAGAGACATCCAGTGGGCACTCTGAGGATCCTCCTAAATGCATGACTCCTGCTCAAGAAGTAGGCAGTCGTGGTTAGGAAGGTTTTTGCACAGCTTTGCCTTGTATGCCAGTAGTGTCTGTTCCTGGATTGACTTACAGTCACATGCCTTGGTCACCTCCAGATGGTCTACTGCAATGTGCTTTACATGGTGCTGCTCTTGAACAGTATCGGGAAGTTTTAGCTGGTACAGAATGTGGGCAGTTATGTGTATTCCTAGAGCAGTGCATGTTACACCACTACTCTAAGCTGCACTGCTTGCCCTTGGGTCTAATTCAACATGCTGGTTTTAATTTTTAAAAGCCTATATGGCATGGGGCAGGTTATTTGAGGGACTATCTTCCCCAATTATATCAGCCCAGCCCACTAGATCTGGCAGATAGGCATGTTGTGGGTACCAACAGCTGGGGGGGGGACTTCCTTTGGTGGGTCCCGGGAGACATGCCTTCTCTATCATGGCATACACCTTATGGAACATTTTCCTCCCCCCAAATTATATTAGCGCCATCGCTTTTGATATTCTGAAAAATCCTCAAGTCTTGACCGCATTGTCAGACCTGGGACTCCCAGGCAACCAAAGACTTGTTCAGATGGCTCCATTGTTGAGATGGCCATTTTTATCCTCCCTCTCTTGTTTGTATCTTTCACTTTTATGATATTTATTATTAAGGATGTTTATATTGTATATTTTGTTTTTATTTATTGTTTTTATTTGATTGTTATTTGCCGCTCAGTGGGATGGGCAGCTATACAAGTTTAATTAATATTTAAATAAGTTTAATGATTTAATTCCTATAAGTATATGGACTGTCTTATCCACACGTGTAATAGATTCCCCTTTTGACTTGTACCGGTAGGTAGAAATGGAAGAGCAATGGCTCCCTGTTCTGGCTCCACTTTTCTGTATAGGAGAAATTTTTTTGGTTCTTTAGAGAGAGAGAGAGGGAATAGTTGCCTCTTTGCTCATACAAAAGGACTCTGAGAATTAAAAAAAGTACCGTCATCCAGTATGTGTGTGATGAAATAAAACTGGTGGATCTTATGTAATACTTTGCTGATAAATAGATGAAATGCTAAAACTCAGTCCTACTACATTCTTATATAAATACTGTTTATCAATTTGTGAGCAGGAAGAAATAAAACATTAAAATAGAATAATCAACTTTGTGGTCAGCACAAAGGAAAGGCATATTTGAGCATAAGAATTGTACGTAGGCCTCAATATTATCATACAAAAACAGAAACTTTCTACAGACTCTTCAAAATATGCATTAATATCTTGGTACTGAAAGTAGTTAGACCTTAAGCCAGATTCTATGTTTCTTTTTAAAATGTCTTTCTCTTCCCCTTTTTCTTCAGGTGTAACAACGTGCAGATCATTAATACCATTTATAGCGTGCAGACTGTAATTTCTAAAATGTTTAATTCATGATGTTTTCTCTTTCGGAATATTTACATTTATTTTACCTAAAATCTCTTTTTAACAGATTAATGGGGATATTCATTATTCCCAGCAGTGTGTTGTATCTAAAAATATATAATCAAAGTAACTCAACTGAAGCAAATTACATTGTGTAATTGAAGTAGCAAGATGATGTCATTTCAAAAAAGCAAATTGAGGCACATAATGAACACTGTGCCACATTTGATACTGAACCTATATGCCAAGGTCATTTGGAGGGAAGGCAAGGATGTTGTGTTTTGATTTTTTTTCTGGACATTTCAATGAAATGGATTATGGGCTTCTTCAGGGTAGATGATATTTTTCTGGTTTAAAAATTAGCACTTTAACCAACTTAGTCTTTCAAGTTTCATTTAGTCATGTTTTCCTTATTGTTTCCACACCTTTTTGCTTTGTCTCACCATATTTATTCATTTTTAAACTTATTTTATTGTTGTGCCCTTTTTGTTTTCATTTCTACCTCCTAATGTTAGAACTACATGACAAGAAATTTATGAAGATAAATAGTGACAAATACATGTATAAGAATTGTAGCAAAGCACTTTTCTTTCTTCATTATATTGTGGAGACTGATTAGCTAATTCGTAAGTAAAAAGCCAGTGTTTTCTTCCTTCTCCCAGTCACTAGAAGAAATTTAGGTTTGATTTTCATGAAGCTATGATGAGCGCAACTAATGGAATAGTCTACGGCAGGGTTCCCCAATTCCTGATCCGCGGACCTGCACTGGTCCGCGACATGCCAGTAACCGGGCCATGCAGACAAGTGAAACCCCATTCATGGGATACAGGCAGCACACCAAACCATGCCCCCTTCAGTCCGCAGAAAAACCTCTCTCCACAGAACCAGTCCTGATGCCCAAAAAGTTGGGGGCTGCTGGTCTAGGGAATCCTCTCTAGGAGCAGTTCCAGTGTGCACAAATATTTTCGATTTCACCTGCTTCAGTCAGCACAGAAACTCAGGCTACACCTATAATTAGGAATGCAGGTGTAACTTTTCCATGTCATCAAATAATGCAGAGAATACAACTAGTTTCCAAAACAAGTTAATATGTCAAAGATTCAAATACCTAATGATGGAGTACATGCAATATTAAGTGAGCAGATTTGCATGTACATATGAGAGTTTTCTCTTGCTGGTCTGCTGCCTACTCTCTGGAAGATTAACATTTGGAGAAAAGGCCACATCTCTTGCTAGACTTTTAAAGAAGACCAGAAGTTAGTAACCTCACCTCCAACAGTTAGAAGACAAATATTGTAAAATGTATATATCTTCTATAATAAAACGGCCAAATTTCACTCCTGTTACCGTGTTGCTTTTTCTTATTTTATTATAGAGATACACCTGCTTTAACAGAAGGTTTGTTCTTGATTCAGAGAAGCTTTTCATCAATCTTACATTGTTTCTGTAGTTTTCTGACTACTATTTAATCTACATACATATTTTTGTAGCATAATAAACTGATACAAGGCAATTCCAAAGGATTTTTTTAATAATCTATAAAATGAGTTTCTAATTTAACCTCTTATTGGCATAAAGTTGGCAGTATTTCTGAAGTAGAATATGATATTGCTACAAAGACAAAAAACTAAATTTCACTATTTTTTGTCTCTTGGCTTAATAGTAAAAGTTCAAGTTAGTATGCATCCAGGTACCAACAACCAAGAGGAAATACTTGTTTTACTGGTCTATTATTTAACTGACTGATTTTTTTTATGCTTGAAAGAGATTATAGTGATTTATAATTATGTGCTACTCTATATTTAACACTGATTGATTGATTTTGTGTCATTGGGTCATTGTCAGCTTTTACTGATCATATAGATTTTCTCCATGATGATCTGTCCCTCACCTGATCTTCCAGTAGTACACCCATTATTACTGTACCTGAGTCTATCCACCTTGTTCTTGTTCTTCTTCTCTTTCCCAGCATTAGAGCCTTTGGTAGAGAGCTGTGTCTTTGCATAATTTGGGTCTGGTCATTTGTGCCTTAAGTAAAAAAAAACCTCTGGATTGATTAGTTTGAACATCCATTTGTTTGTTTTTTTGGTCATTCATGACATTTTTAGGAGTCTTCTCCAACACAAAAATTCAAAACAGTTTTGTTTCTTCAAAATCCAACTTTCACTGCCATAAAGTATCACAGGGAAAGTGCTTGCACTAGACACATCATGGCATGAGTATCTTTTCATGGCTGCTTTGCTAAGTGCTTGTCTGTGGTGTATTTCTTGACTTCATGTTTTTTTACACATGATCCTAAAAGGCCGAAGCTATCTATCATTTCAATATCTTCATTAGCATTTCTAAGACTGATTGTTGTACCTGATGTGATGATTCATTTGGTTGTCTTATACTTGATTTTAGTCCATTTTTTTGCCCAAACTATTGTGAAATACAGTCATATGCTCTTGGGATGCTGCAAATGGCCATAAATGTGGCTGTGTCGCCAAGCATTTGTAGTTCTGTCATGTGACCAGTGGGTGGGGCAACTGGTAGAACATTGGATCCAGACTGTAAGTCCGATTTATCAGATCAGTTGTAACTTTGAACAGTTACTAGGTCATTTTTGCTTGTTTTCTTTTGATTTTAGCTGATCATAAACCAAACATTGAATGAATTGATTGATTGATTACTTAGTTGTAAGTCGAGTATGTGTAGTGTCACAAGCATAACACAGGTTATTGATATTTTTTCTCTCCAAATACAGAAAAAGATAAAACACGTTTCTTCCTCCAATCAAACTTTCTAATAATAATAATAATAATAATAATAATAATAATAATAATAATAATAATAATAATAATAATAATAATAATAATAATAATAAATAAATAAAAAAAGTTGGAAGGGACCTTGGAGGTCTTCTAGTCCAACCCCTGCTCAGGCAGGAAACGTATACCATTTCAGACAAATGGTTGTCCAGTCTCCTCTTACAAACGTCCAGTGTTGGAGTATTCACAACTGCTGGAGGCAGGTTCCTATATTTCAGTGATGGTGAACCTTTTAGAGACCGAGTGCCCAAAAACCACCCCGCCCCCAACCCACCTCTGTTCCGCTCCTGCCCGCCCATAGGGCCATCCACTGCCTGCATGGGCACCGATCGCCCAGGTGGCCCAGCAGCGCCATGGCTGCCACGCCCTCCATCTGCGCCCCACAGCATCATCTGTGCGCAGTGGGGCTCAAGGGCAGAGTCTTGTCCCTGCTGCCCAGCTGCCATGTCCTTGGCTGCGCTTCCCCGCCCGGGCCACGCTCGGGGACGACTCCTCTGGGGGGGCTGCTGGTGAGGGGCTGCGGGGGGAGTCGGGGCTGGGGCGATGGCGCACGTGCCCACAGAGAGGGCTCTTAGTGCCGCCTCTGGCAGGTATGCCATAGGTTCGCCACACTGCTATTATATTCGTTATATAGCTTGAATAAATAAGGGGAGAGTATAAGCCTTGTTTCACTACTTTGCCAACCATATTCTGTCCATACTGTAGCTTACTGATTGTATATATGTTTCTCATATGGACAATGAGATGTTCTGTGATCTCTGACACCATTAAATATTGATAATGAAGCTGTTTAGGTTAGTTTAGGAACATGTCTTTTGAATATTAATCAATAGATGTTTTACTGCAGTAGTTACTTGAATAATAATTAGTAAATTGAAGTTTAGATAGTTATATCAGCTAGGTTTACAGCAAGTTTTATATCCCATTAGCTTAAGAATTTTTTAAAAACTTATTCTTAATTTTAAATTTTGGCTTATTAAATCTGATCAGTTAATAATTATATATTATTTGGTTGTTTATTTTTTAATAGATGAATGACTAAAAACAAAATGATCCCCTTGACAGTATTAACTTATGTTGTCATAGAAGGAGATGTTTCTTAAGGTTATGGTGAAAAAAAAGGCTAGTAAATTAAAAAGGAGTGATTTTCCCCCCCCACCACTTACTGAAGAAACTTTAAATTGTACAGGTACATGCTGATATATTTAAAACATTTCATTGTATGTTTAATTTTTGGACAACTACAGCTTACCTTTGAAGCTTTAAAGACTTTAAATGTTCAAAGCAAGCTTGTTTTAAAATAAGGTGCTTTTTATATTGTTCGAAGAGTACACTCCCAGAATTCTCATCCAAAAAAATTGTGCTTCCTGGAAATTTTAAAAATTGTGGTCCTAATACACCTAATGTCAGGTTAGAAATGGTTGGTTCAAATTTCAGTTACTAGCAATTTATTCATTTTGATAACTGAAAGACTTGACAGTCTTCCGTTATGGTACAAGAGCAGTCTATTAACTAAATGTGTTTGCTATATCATTTCTTGGCTTCTATGTTAATTGTCAATATTCTGCAGTGATTGATCTTGTCTTTTTTTCTCTTATTTTGAAGAAGAAAGAAGATTGGACATAGATGAGAAGCCTCTAGTTGTACAATTAAATTGGAACAAAGATGATCGTGAAGGAAGATTTGTGCTTAAGAATGAAAACGATGCACTCCCTGCCAAGGTAAAAAGCAGAAATGTTCTTAAATGTATATATTTGAGCTGTGTTTGTGTGTATATATGAGTTTTCTTTTCTGTGTTTATAAAAATAAACATTGTATATTTGAGTTTTCTATGTTTGTAAAAATTGAGTGTCTGTATATTGTATTTATTTATTTTTTTGTACATCCCCATTTGTAGTCCATGGATGTGCCTTTACAGGTAGTCTTATGCATGTTGATACAGAGTGTGTGATTTCCATTCCTTAATAATAATAATAATAATAATAATGATAAAGTTGGAAGGGACCTTGGAGGTCATCTAGTCCAACCCACTCCTCAGGCAGGAAACCCTATACCAGTGGTTCTCAACCTTTTTAATACCGCGACCCCCAACCGGTCGTAAGTCAAGGACTAAACCGGTCATAAGTTGAGGACTACCCAACCGGTCGTAAGTCGAGGACTTTCCCTGCCTGGGAGCGCCGCACATGCGTGGTTCCGCCCCCTGCGCCGGCCGAGGCGTAGCTGGCAAGCGGCAGAGCCGGAGCAGGCCGACCACCAGCTGGCCCAGCTCGAGGGAGGTAAGGCACCCGCCGGAAAAGGGGAAAAAAATGGCAGACAGCCTTGCTTGGCGACCCCCGTGAAATGGTCGATCGACCCCAAATGGGGTTGCGACCCATAGGTTGAGAACCGCTGCCCTATACCATTTCGGACAAATGGCTGTCCAGTTTCTTCTTAAAAACTTCCAGTGTTGGCGCATTCACCGCTTCTGGAGGCAGGTTGTTCCACTGGTTAATTGTTCTGTCAGGAAGTTTCTCCTTAGTTCTAGGTTGCTTCTCTCTTTGGTTAGTTACTTCTCAAATTAGTCAGTTAATGCTGATTCAAATACTGCTTTTAGCCAGTAATAAATTTTTGTTGGAATGGAAATGTTTTCAGTGCTTCTGAGGATCTTCATTATATTTCAGCTCAAAAAAGGAATTTTATGTAATACTTAACACTCAGTTAAGGAAATTTTTGTTCATTGTTGCAAGTTGCTAGCCATTCAAGGTTGACCATAATAGGAAGCCACATTATAAATGCTAGTACTGTTCTTATTATAAAGCTACAGTAACATATTGAGAGCGTGGATACACATCCTTGATCCCTCCCTATATCTTCATGAAAACTATAGAGGATCCTCTCTGAGGTGCTTTCCCAGATTACATTTTTGCCCGGATTTAGAATTCTTTTATCTGACATTGTTGTAGTTGTGTTTCTTCCTTCTATTCCTCAAGCTTATGTCTTCTGTCCATTACATAAGTAGAAGATTTATGTATATTACATTGTATTATTTCCAATAAGAAATAAATTATAACCAAACACAGGTAATGGATTCATATAAGAAAAAGTAAACGTTAAAGGCAGTTTTAATACATTATAAACCAAATGAATTTGTTTATTAGTAAACTTAAATTTTGAGGTATGTTTAGCTAGATTATGATTATCATGGAGTAATTATTTCTATGATGTTTCTTAGTTTTTATATAACTGTAGTAGTCTAATGTTTACCAATTTGGCACATTCAGATTACTATAGGAACAGTTATTTTTGTGTTTCTTTGAATATAGGAAATAACATTTTTAATGGTTAGTAAGCTGACTAATTCTTATATTCTGATAATTAGGCTGATAAACAATATATTCCTGAATTATATCTTATGTATTGATGTTTTATAATAAAAATCAAGAAAAAAAAATCAGGTTTTTCCACTGTAAGTATTCTTTGCTAGTTGTCCTGAAAGAACTCTTTTGGCTATAACAGACTCAATTTGTATCTGTGAATGTCAATTAAAGGTCATCCACATTTGCATATAATACTGAACAATAAACTGGCAAATCCAAATAAACCGAACCAACATAAAGATAGTCCTTGACTTACAACAGTTTGTTTAGTGACCATTCAAAGTTAAAACAGCACTGAAAAAATGAGTTATGACCGTTTTCACACTTATGACCATTGCAGCTTCCCCAAGCTCAGTGAACAAAATTCAGATGCTTGGCAACTGGCTCATATTTATGATGGCTGCAGTGTCCTGGGATCATGTGACCCCTTTTGTGACCTTCTGACAAGCAAAGTCAATGGAGAAGCTAGATTCACTGAACGACTGTGTTACTAACTTACCTGCAGTGATTCACTTAACAATTGTGGCAAGAAAGGTCATAAAATGGGGAAAAATTATCTAACAAATTTCTTGCTTAGCAACAGTTGTGGTTGTAAGTGGAGGACTATCTGTATTAAGCTTATGTACACTCTTTGAGGGGCACAATGGCTCAGTGGTTAAAGATGCTGGGAAACTGACAGCCCAGGTTCGAGACCTGAGTGCCGTGTGACTGGGTGAGCACGCCTGTTCTTGCCCCACTTAGCAGTTCGAAAGCATGCAGATGCAAGTAGATAAATAGGTGCCACTTTGGTGGGACGGTAACAGTGTTCTGTGTACCTTGGGCTGGCTTCCTCAGCTAAAAAACAGGGATGAGCATTGCCCCCTAGAATTGGATATGACAAGACAAGGGAAACCTTTACCTTATACCCCTTTGATAATTTAATGTCTGCAGAAACTCCACTCAGATCAAGAATTCTGGTTTGAAATAAATTCTGAGGTGTAGGTCAAGAATAATGAAATTGGTTTGTTAAAATAATCAGAACTTCTTTTAAACAAGAATCTTTGATTGGAAGATGACACTGAAGCTGAATTCTGTCAAAGTAAAAATAATCACTCTCTAGACAGTGTAAAAGTTGTCATTTTGGAGACTCATGGAACTGTATCCACATAGGAATAAACTTTGGTTCAGCCTTGTGAATGAATTGTAACCATTCTGTGTTAATCATCTTGGTCAAATGTTGAGATAATTCTTGCTGATCCTTTGTCAAATGCATAAATTACAATTCTTATCACCATTGATATTTGCAATTGAATAATGTTGCTTTGGAAACTAATACAACTAAATGAATCACATAATACTAATAAAATTGACATGTTTCAGAAGGCTCAGAGCAATGGCCCTGAAAAACAAGAAAAAGAAGGAGTGATCCAAAACTTTAAGCGGACCCTATCAAAGAAGGAAAAAAAAGAAAAAAAGAGGCGAGAAAAAGAAGCACAGCAACAAGCTTTAGACAATCATGGGCCATTTCATGGAGATGATATGTGAGTCTTAAATTAAAAAAATACAGGAATTGTTAAAATATGTCTTTTAAAATTATTTTATTGATTGTTTCTTACCACATGACTTATTGGTAAAAAGTTTTTTTTATGTGCAGAACAGCACTTCCATTCATAAATATCCTTTAAGCAGAATTTTGAGGGGAAATTGAAAGCCAGTTTCTTCTTTTCTCTTAGTGACTCATTTTATATTGCTGGATCCTAGAACTATTTGTCACAAGAAAATTATGATATGTTCTAGAAGCTGGTTGATGAGATGATAAGCTAGTTTGGAGTGCAGATAGCTGGTTTTGTCTATTAATTATTACAATAAATCACTGCTTATCTGACAAGTGGATAAAGTACCTTTAAGTAACAGAGGTACATATGCAGCCCTTGGGCTGTCGGCTTCACATTAATTTATTTTCATATATATATATGAAAGGATATATATATATCCTTAATGGTTGCAAAAATGCGAATCCCGGGCATGTTTATCCAATGATGCAATCAACGATCTCTGGGAGAGGTACAAACCAGTTGTTTATTGTTAAAACAATACTTAAAACAATAAAAACAGTTATATACAAAGTTAAAAAACAACTTAGCTTTCGCTGGTCCTCGGCCAGCGTCCTCAGAGTGAGGCTCAGGGGGTGGGGAGGTTCTTTTTATACCCTTGTTGATCTAACTGCTTACTCATAGCCTGTGTGATAGGGCCATTCTTCCTGATTGACTGTAATTGCCTTAGTCGTCCCGCCCTCTCTTTTTTGCACTCCAATTCTGCACTTTTTTAGATCAACAAGGGTATAGATCAACAAGGGTATAAAAAGAACCTCCCCACCCCCTGAGCCTCACTCTGAGGACGCTGGCCGAGGACCAGCGAAAGCTAAGGTTTTTTTAAACTTTGTATATAACTGTTTTTATTGTTTTAAGTATTGTTTTAACAATAAACAACTGGTTTGTACCTCTCCCGGAGATCGTTGATTGCATCATTGGAGATACACACACACACACACACACACACACATATATTACTTTTTAAAAAGAAAAGTAATATGTACTTGCGTATTTTGAAGAATTCTTGAAATTTCTTTTGGCAGTGAAAATTCTCGTCTTGCAGCAGAAGTCTACAAAGATATGCCTGAAACCAGTTTCACTCGAACAATATCCAACCCAGAAGTGGTAATGAAACGACGAAGACAACAGAAGCTAGAAAAAAGAATGCAAGAATTTCGGAGTTCTGATGGCAGGCCAGATTCAGGTGAAAGTTTAGATTAAAGCTAAGGAATTTATTTGATATGTTAAGGTTGGTTGTCTAACAAGAGTGTACAAAAATAGGCATTTTCCTTGGCAAGTGACGCTTTCTTCAATCAGAGAACAGTGTGTAATATTCATAAAAACCTATCTTTTGAAAATACTAAGTTTGCCCTTGGAAAATTAGAGGTTTATAATTATGTTCATTATAATTATTAATGAAAGCATTGTTTTGCAGAAAGTCATTGTGTTTTGAGAAAGATCTTTTATTTTGAAATTATTATTGGAAATTCCATGAAATTTATGAAAGAAATCAAATCATATTAGTATATATAACTTGAATTAATAATTTATTTTTAGGTGGAACACTAAGAATTTATGCAGATAGTTTGAAACCAAATATACCGTACAAGACAATCCTACTGTCTACTACAGATACTGCAGATTTTGCAGTTATTGAGGCCCTGGAGAAGTACAGCCTAGAAAAGGAAAATCCCAAGGATTATTGTATTGCTCGTGTGAGTAAATTAATGAAAGAAAATAGTGTCAAACTAATTAACTTTCTCTGAACATTTGCAATCTTTCAATGCTATCTCATTTGAGTTTTATATCTGCTATTTAACATTATTACTGACAAGAGAGCACTTTTATTTCTTAGCCAATACACAGTAAATGTTTTGTCTCTTTGATTTGATTTGGCTATTAGTAGCCAAGTAGTAATTTAAAATAAGAGTTATTCTGGACTGGTTAAATTAGTTAAATGATTTGTTTTTCCTTGCTTTAATTTCTCTATAACTCCCGGAGCAGCTTTAATAAAGCAATACGACATAATAAACATATAAAAATAAATAAGCTATTTTCAAGATAATTCTTTTGAAATAACCTTTAAAGTTTTTGTTAGATCCATGTTCAATTTGCATTATAGAGGAGGTAGCCCTATAGACATTAAGGAGTTGCACAAACACATTTATACTTAACAAAAAAGTAATTCCTTTGCTTTCTCCATCTTTGTGCCTCTTTCACCCTTTCCCAATCTTATATCTTCCTCAGATGACCCAAAATCTATGGATTTTGCTTTAAGCATGAGATATATAGGTAGGAAGGAGGACCTTACTATTCTGTTTTACTTAGTAAAAAGATGCATAGTGCCCTGACTTGAGATTATTAAGATGAGCTAATTCTCAATTGTCTGCTGATTGGAGAGGCAAAGCTAAAAGAACCAAAGACACAGTGTTCACACTTCAGCCATGTTATATTTGTTCTCCCTTTTCTACTTTGTAATACTGAAATTCAGAAGTATGAGCTATGCTTAAAACGTCCTTGATTAAACTGAAGTATAAGCAGAGTGTAGATTGAAGCATGTTGTTATTACAAATAATATGGAAATTTTCTATCTTATACCCTGCCTTTTCATAGGTTATGCTTCCTCCTGGTGCTCAACATTCTGATGATAGCGGTGCTAAAGAATCTATCCTTGATGATGACGAGTGTCCGCTTCAAATATTCAGGGAATGGCCAAGTGACAAAGGTAACTTTAGTTTTTTAAAGTATATAATGCAACTGAGTGACTATTTTAACACAGTACTATTAGTGAGTTGCAAACAAATCTAAAGGGTTTGAGATTTGTACCTAGACTTTTGAATAAATAAGAAAACTTTTTTTGAAGTACCTGAATATGGATTGAGATATTGTAAGTTCCTCAGTGACTGAACAGTCAAACTCAGAAGTCTAAAAGTGTTTGGATGGCCTAAAAGAGAGAAGGATTGTATAGTGGAGTTTGTGTAGGTGCGTTATATAGCACTAAATAAAAATTGGTAATAATCTGAATGCAATTGGATTTTATAATGAAGCTGCATGTGATAGAGAATTAATTTTAATTTTGTAACTTTGTAATGAGACAATATGACAACCATTGGCCATTTAGTGTAGTTAATTTATGCTTCTGTTTCTCAGGTCACATTCAAATGATCTGTTTGTGATTCTCTATTTTAGGAATATTAGTCTTTCAGTTAAAAAGGCGGCCACCTGATTATGTCCCAAAGAAACTGAAGAAGCAAGTTGATGTAAAACTATTAAAAGGAAAGGAAAGAATTGATAGATCTGGTTATGGCTCTTCTCTTCCACCTGAGAAACTACCTTATCTGGTTGAACTAAGTCCAGGTAAGAATTATGTTATTAAAATATTATTTGTGTTTGGAATGATTGACTTTCAGAATTACTCTTGACAATTTCTGAGAGTTCCAGTCTGTGGTGTATATACATGATTTGGACACCTTGATAGAAAAGAGGAGAGATAGACAATGTTCTTTGTGTTTTTCTGGAGCTTTTGTGCATAATGTTAAATATTTTAGATAAACGACATCTTCACAGAACCAGCAGAAGAGTTGTTACACATATTCAGTCTATAATCTTTGTGTTTCTGAAGTGTAGCAATAGTAAAATAATTTCCTTAAAGTCTAACTGTGTTAGCTTAAATCAGGGGTCTTAATTAAAATAATCAAAGGAGTGTTGCACAAGGAAAAGGCCATTGGCTTAAGGGCCATAACGTCTTTTAATGCATTAATAGAAATGTCCTGGATTAGTTGAAAATGTAGAGCACTACAATATGCCATTAAAGATAGATGTATTAAATAAAAAACTGCTTTGAAAGAGAACCACTTCACTTTGACTATAGCTGGCAGAGAAGAACATATCTGGAATGGTATAATCTAGGAAATCCATTCCATTAGCGCTGCCCAAATATTGTTTTGCTTTCCCTTCTGCCTCCTTGCCTTCCAGAGTGAGTCCTCCCTCCCTCCGTCTCTTCCCCTATCAAAGAGATTTTTCTTATTTGCTCACCATCTTTTCCATGCCTTGCCTGGAAAAGAGACGATTGAAGTGGAAGAGCGAATGTGATCTCTTCATCTACTGCCTCTTTCCCTTTCTCTCAGATAGCCTTTGCTTCCAGTAGGTCTTCTCTGGCTAAGCCCTATCTTCCTGCTGCTTCTTTCTGGAGGATTTGTCTCCTCAGAAGGAATGCCTGCCACAGAGCGTGAGATTGGGGGGAGGGTAGTCTGGAGGGCAGGGTGCAAGAGGCCTCAAGGTGCTAATTACTTGATCCAGACAACCAAACCCTGCTATTGCTGGGAGATCCACTGGGTTGGATGAAGTACAGTGCGGCCAGGCCACTGTTCTTCCTGGAGGGCATTGCATGATCCAGTGTGCCCATGCCTTGCTGGGCAGCATCTTTAGTGCCTACAAAATGGGCCAAAAATCATTTGGAGGACAGAAAGCATGACTCAGAGGGCTATATGCATGCATTTATTTTACAGTTTTACCTTCTAGCTATCTAGTCAAATAAGTGGTGAATGCTCCAACACTGGAAGTTTTTAAGAAGAGACTGGACAGCCATTTGTCTGAAATGGTATAGGGTTTCCTGCCTGAGCAGGGGGTTGGACTAGATGACCTCCAAGGTCCCTTCCAACTACTACTACTACTACTACTACTACTACTACTACTACTACTACTACT